TTAAACATTAATTAAGTTGCCCATTTTGGAGGGGATGAATCAGTAGGTGATTCAAGTCTTCATCAAAGGATTAAAGTTCGAAATGTGTAAAATAAGCAGATTTAATGGTACTAATCTTAGATCACCTAAAGAATCACCCCAGCTTATTTCACCTAAAGATTAACCACCCTAACACTGTTTAGGGAGATGAGGTTAGGTTAGGAAAGATTAGGTTAGGTTAGAGATTAGGCGATATTATATTAGATTATGATGGATTAGGCTAGATTAGGTTATGTTAGCGTGGTTAATCTCTAGGTGAAATAAATTAGAGTAGAGATTCTTCAGGTGATCCGTCGAATTAACTCGCGAACGCAATTTTGAGAAGACTCAAGTAATAAAGATTTAATTTTTTAAACCAACTTGTCAAGGAACATTTGTTTTGAAACTTGTTCTACTTTACAAGTCAATTACATTTTTGGATATTCTGAATTAAAATATAATAAAAAGAAGTTGAATATGTGACTGGTTGTTGACAAGAAAAAACGAGTGATCAATTTATTACGGAAAAAAAATGTGGGTTATTGCCGATGTGTTGATGACTAGTGTATTTACTAACCTAGAATACACCACGCTTAAAGGCCTTAGTTGTTGTAGCTCATTAGTACATTATAATATCAAAATGAAAACAGATACAGTAAATCATACGCTTTACTTACGTCTTGCAAGATGGCATTTGTGAGCGTGGAGCAAACTGGTGATCTCATAATTACACCAGTAACGTGAAAGTATAATTAACTATCGTTGCATATGACTATACAAACTATTGTTGTAGTTTCTCAGTGCTCCGTAAAACCATTTCCTGTTGTATTGAATCGATTTTTTTCGAATATTAGATGTTTACATGTGTGGTTTCACGGAGGCCATGACTATTCACTATAATAACATGTATATGTTTTAATACACCTTTTCACATATCCGTCGAGACATTGTTACATAACTATTTGACAAATTTCATAACCGAATGACAGAACATATATCGAATGACACTCTAAAATAACTGTTGGTGGTATGTCATTCTCCAATTGTTACATTCTCAAACTATATGTAGACTGTCGGTTTATTGTTCACGTCTGTCAACTTCATAACTTATGTCAATCACTTCCGTTAGCATGAACGAACAGTTATTTTAGATTGTCATTCGATATGTGTTCTGTCATTCGGTTATGAAATTTGTCAAATAATTATGTAACAATGTCTCAACGGATATGTGAAAAGGTATACTACCAAGAAGTTGTTTAAGCTAACTAAAACTGTAAAAACATTACTCTAAATACTTACGAGTTTGAAGTTGAACATCCCTAGCCTCACGATGACGTTTGCAGCTGCTCTCTGTTCCCAGGACACTCACTAAAAAGGACCTTCCTATGCCGAAATTTCAAACTATTGAAGGCTACTACCAAGATGGTCGACCTGTTCACTGTGAGGTTGAAGCCGAGTCCGAGACCCAACCAAACAACACAATGACCACAGTTCACCCAGTATCTTGCACTTTAGTTATTTTGACACTCTTTCCACAAGTTATTAACACAGATTTTCTGGTATTTGCATTTGTCTTTTATTAATTCCAGTATATCGAGATACTGTAGTTTGGCATCAATGCAACACCACCTTAATTTTACGTACAAGCTCCGTCCAAAATGAGCGTCTTTCGTTTGGACAATGTCTTTCTGAAACATTGGTCTTAAAATGGCGAATAAGGATATTCTACCGTGAAGTCTTTCCATTTTAATGCCAGCCCGAATCCAGGTAAAAAAGTCACAGGTAAAAAAGTCACAGGAAAAAAAGTCACAGGTAAAAAAGTCACAGGAAAAAGTCACAGGAAAAAAAGAAAAGTTAACTATCGAATTCTCACATTTTTTAAGGTTAATATGTCAACCTAACCTAACCTAGCCTTTATTACCGGCCACCATAAATTAATTGTGACTTTTTTCCTGTGACTTTTTTTCCTGTGACTTCATTACCGGCCACCGCCAGCCCGACACTAGCTTCCCCATTTTAAATACTGTATAGAGTTTCATCACATCCTCTTTCTTTGTCTCTACTCTCGACCTTCATTGTCCAGTGTTAGTACACTACAGGAGGAAACCAGAAAAACCTGTCATACAGGTTTACAAATGAATTTGGATGTAGTGTATACAGTAGACCAGGGGTGGGCAATTATTTTTGATGGAGGGCCACTTCATGAATGGCGGCACACTTCGTGGGCCACACACTTAATGTAGATGCAAATGTATTATATTAACACAAAGTAAATCCATTATTTGTAAATACAAACGCAGTGGTGGGCCACAAATAATTTGGCGGGCCAAATGTGGCCCGCGAGCCATACTTTGCCCACCCGAGTAGTTTATGAAGGCATACAGTTTGCCTTAGATATATGACAATGGAAAACAGTAAGGGAATTTAACCGAGGATTGCAAAGCTATCAGAAGCTAACTTCCAGTAGGGCCCTCCTCACATCCAACCTGGGAATTTGAACCTGTATGGCGAAGCAAACCCTGGCTCATCTCTTTGTAATAACCTGCATTAAGGTGTGTGCAATCAGCATCCAGATTTCTCATAGTTTTTCCTACACTCAAAGCAATCACGGTAATACTAAGGTTTAAGGAATGTTTGCTGAGGTGCTTATTAGTAGCAGTTCCATGTTCTTCTTGGGTACATAGCTGTTAATGTTACTAACTGTGATATCAGCAAAATTCCTGAACGTTAGCATCCTGTCCCCCAATTTTTTAAATGTTCTGCTCCTGTCATGTCTAAAGTTTGTGTTGGGGTTAAAACTCTAGGCTGTTTAGCTCTTTTGGGTATTAAAAATCTATAAAGTCTCAATCACATCACTGTTGATGTTCCCATGCCAATTTGTTAACTGGTGTAGGTGTTCTGTACAGAGCAGTTCCTGGAGAAGATCAGCTTAGTGGTAATGTATATGGCAAGTCCAGAAAACTGTGAGGGCAAACTTTTTCGGAGTGAGAGTTGTGAACTCTTGGAACAATCTACCAGAAAGTGTTGTGACGGCACCGAGTGTGAGCTCTTTCAAGACCAGACTTGACCAACACTGGAGCAGGTTCAGGTATATTCAGGAGCCGGTGCATTGCCCAGTACTTGCCAGCAGTGCGTAATGGAGACGCAACCGATCGCCCAAGCGGCTAACGAGCCGATCAGCGGCGAAGAGGATAAGAGAAAAAGAAAGAAAAAGTCAGTTACCTTTCACATCTTCAAACTTTTATTTACTCGAGGGCTCATGCTCAGGGTACTGCAACTGTTTTTTCACTGTTTAACTAATATTGTCATGGTAAATACTAAAAGTTTACAGTGAAGTTTATGAATGAAATGCTCACTTGTATTCTATCTGGCTTAAATATGGTTATTTTAGACGGTTAGTAAGAGTGATCACAGAGAATGCTTTTATTTTCGAACAAACAATAATAAAACAAACAACTTCATTCGAATATTCTATACAACTATTGTTTCCTTCCACTTTTTTCTACCTTCCTCAAGTGAGTAGATCATATTCATAAACCATTCTACAATTTCTGAAATAATAACACAGGATGGATGGTTGTTCCTAGGGAGCCACTGCCCAATGTGACAGTGTTTTATATTGTATTGGTTAACTGAGGTCTTAGATTGTAGAGGCTGTGAATATGACCCCTGGACCCTGTCTACTTTGGTGTGAAAAGGTTTGACCAACTAGCCAGTAAGCAGACAAGTGGCAATGAGGATGAAGGAAACGTTCTATATATTTAAAAATCGTGTGTCTAAATCATGTCACCATAAAATCTCCTATTTGCCAACTTTAGGAAAGTTTAATCACAAGAAATGGTATTCATAAGGCAGCCTTCCTAAAGTACTATGCAGAGTGATCACATCTGTCGAGTTTGGTGAAGACACACATTCTGTATGAAGAGATGAAGCCTCGTTCATATGATGAAAGCTTCAGTGTAAAACAATTGATATACCATTTGCTTTGGTTTCTATTTTTTATACTTCTTCCTGTATAAAAAAGACCCACAAAATGAATTTGGTAAATTTGCATCGTCACACCGTTCTGTTAGAAAGTAAAAAATATATTGTTCTAGTGTATTTGTGCGTGTTTAGACCAAATATGACCTTCATTTCTGGCGGAAATTGGCCGGGTTTTTTATCGAATTTTTTTCGTTGGACGTTTTACAAAAAAAAAAAAAAAATCATGGCAAAATACACCAAAAAAAACAATAACCTAACCTAACTGACTTTCACCATATGAAGGAATCACCTATTTCTTACCTTATTGGCCTGGTTCTTGTTCGTTGTTGGATTCTGAGATTCTTACACAACGCCACATATGTTGGTCTTTGCAATATTTACATTCAGTCTGTGATATTTACATTCAGTCTTGCTCTTAGTACACTTTATTGAGGTTGGTAGAACACCATACGATTGAAAAAATGCTATAGTTTCTTCGTTTTTTTTTCCCCAAAAACTCGCAATCAGCTCTATATAATTTAAGTGACACCCATCGCAGGCTTCCATGGTCGGAACTAAACTTGAATTTCAAAATATGAGAGACTCAAAATAAAACTCTAATTTGATTGGGCCAAATATACTGCGAATTAAACCCAAAATCATTTTAATTGGTTGCAAAAACAAAAACGCTTTTGATTGGCCGCGTGACATGTACGGGAACGCATGCGTGTGATGATTTATGAAGGAAACGCATGAGACACGCAGACACGCAGTGTTGGAGGTGAGGCAGGCGATAATAGAGGAAGATTAATGGAAGAAAATAGTGAACATTTTGGATATGCTATCTCCGTTATTATACATTTCCGCCAGTAATGTAATAGATGAAAATTATCTTATAATTAGACGTCTTATTCGAATATGATGATAGATTAGTGGTAGGAATGAACGGTGTGTAAATGCAATAATACCATGAATTTAAATACAAGTGTTTGCACCAACATTTAAAATGTATTGCAAAATCAGTTTCATAATTTATTACAAAAAAAAAATGAATATGCAGGTAACCGAACAATAATAATGAATACAGTGTGCAATAAAAACACCCACATGCAGTACTTCATCCCAAAACACCAGAGGTTATAAACTAAAATACAATACACGTACTGTAATTGTTGAATGCCATTAAATTGTATTGATGAAAATTACGGATAAATTCAGGTCTGCAATACAGTACAGTAAATACAAAACCTAAAAGAAACATACAATTGGGCAATATATTCTTCAACAACAACTTTCTATTTCAGAATCATTAAACACCAAAATTAAAAAACTTACCGAAACTTACATACATATACAATACAGATACATTTATACTGTATGTATAAACAGTATTGAAAGAAACTAGGAACGGAGTCTTTCAAACATGTTTATAAAACAAAGATGTCCTGCTTTGCAAATTGAGTGCAAAGGTTAATCACCTAAAATTAATATTTTTTTTTAAGATAAATGGAGAATTCAAGGTCAACAAGTGTCAAACTAAGTCAAACAGATCTTTGTCGAGGTGATACTATAGAAATCCTTAAGGAGCACATGGAAGCATAGTTTCATGGCTGTTTTAGTGAGACAGTGACAGATCCAGTGTTTGAGAAAAGTGCATGTACAGTACTGAGGGGCAGAAGGAAATAACACAGTACAATATGCCCTTCTACATTTGGGAAGGATATAGAAAAAATAGCCTAAATACCTACTAATATCAACCAAGAAAGTTTTAGTAATACCCCCTAATCTGGAAAGAAGTTTATGTCCTACGGTTACACATGTTGCAGCCCATTAGTTAGATTCGCTACCACTAGCTTGATTAACATGGAAATACGGAATAAAACTGATCAATTAATTTATACTGTACTGCCTTATCATACATTATCTACTCATCTAAGAAAAATCTTGCGTGAAATTAATGGCATTAAGTTCATTTTAATCAAGTAGACGTTTTAGTCTTTACTATATGTTTTATAAAGTTACTATAGTACCATAATACAACAGAGCTGTAAGGGTTGTACAGTATTTAAAAGACTTATAGATGGCTATGATCAGGCATATTGAACACTGTTATTTGCTTGTTCATTGACTAGTAGATATTAGAAGTGGCTACTGTATTTGATTTACCAACAAAACTTACCAATGAAATGCATGAATCACCATTAATCATCTTTAGTATACAGTATAAATAATACAGTACTTCACTTGCCTGTTCTAGCACCCCAATGTTTGCTTAATCTCACTCAGTCAAAATTATGGTTCCATCATTTAGTACGGTTAGAGAATCTACTGAAAATTGCAGTAACTCATATAAATACTGTTTAAAAGCATTGTGACTCTTTAGTATGTAGCAATCTGGGTTTAAATGTTATACTGTGTTATATCAAAGGTAACTTTTGCTTTAGGAAGGGAGGCCATCAGCCTTGATCTTGTCCATGATGGCTGACCCATACCACTGTATCTCATCTATGACTTTCTCCATGTTTTTCTTAACTCTCTCGTCTTGGCATTCTCCTTCATCATTGAACTTCCCTTGTACCTGTGTAACAAATATCTGATTAAAGATAGAAAGAGATTTATAGACTACAGTGCACATCAAAAACATTATGACCTTGAGAAGGAAGCAATTTAATTAAAGCATTTAAGCAATTCATTATCTTAACCTCATACATTGTGTGTCACCAAGTCAACTCGTGACTCACCATATCAACAGGATCAAAACCCCAATAACTCCTAGGCTCCTAGACAATGGCTGCAAGACTACAACACCAAAAAGCTGCATCTACTTACTAAACTAAAATGCTTATAAAGAGATCTTAGGTGCAATAATTCCCATTCAAAGGTGAAGGCTAGAGCTGCAATATCATATCAGCTGCATACACTAAGCCTGTCAGTCACTCTCTGGCATTATGACAGTTGACTAATTAGGTTTGAGAGACTTTATTTCTACTCTACTTGAAGCCTCAGCATATATCCATCCACTTCTGTTGTCAACATTTCACAAACCATTCAATCTAACAAGATGCTCTCTCCTCAACTCTACTTGACAATACTGTACAGTAAACCAAGATCCTCACCCTGGTCAACCTTTATCGTAACAAAAACCAAGAATCTCACACCACAACACTTACATTACTTATTGCAACCATCCAAACAGACTTAACAAAAAAAAATAAATCTTAAACCCAAAACAATCTCTTCATTCGGAACCTACAAATGGGAAAACCCCTTTAGTAATTAACCAAAGCATTTCATGATAATTTTCACAAACCCACCATGTTCCCCTTTCTGCTACCCCAACCATTAAATAGTCACCACAGTCAATCATCTAGGTTCCACATTTGCTTACCAGAAAAATTCAACCCTTGGTCCTGACAACAATGTACCCTACTCTCAGTGACTACATCAGTGGATTCTTCTCATCCCATACAATCAACTATAATTTCTACGTGTCTAGTGCTTTCTATTCTTTCCAGTATAGATCTAGACAAAGCCCAAAGACCCGATATCCAATGTCTCATCCTCAATCATAAATAGTGAACTTTATTTTTTTTTTTACCCTTTCTTGCACTTTTCCTACAGTTCCTTCATCTTGGAAATGAGCCAATATCCAGCATAGAGCATCCCCCTCTCCCCCCAAAAAGGTGATCCATCCTCTCCTTTCAACTAGTGACCCATAGTTCTCATCTCAAGTACCAGTACAGTATCACTAAGGGTCAAGCACTGTATTACTGTAAGTCATAAAAAAAAAAAAAAAAAAACTGCCACCTCTGATACTTACCGGGTAGTATGATACTATATATATATATTCCTGCTGTTCCACTGCAAACTTGCTCACTATCATTACTTAAACTTGACTGTTCTTCTGACAACTTTGGTTAATCTTATCTTACTCCTGATATATTGAGACTAGAGTATCAAGCGCTCAATGTCAAATTTTAAACTTTTTGTCTCTGATTATTTTGGCTCCTACATCATCTCCTTTTTTGCCATCACCATCCATGTTCAGTAAATGATGACTCATATTCACACTACATGTACATTCACATCCATGCTGGAGAGCTTTAAAGACAAGTTCTTGTTCCTATTCTCTTCTTTGTCTTACCGAAAATAGAAACTTGCACAAATTTACCCTACCAGTCCAGTCACTCCAGTGCCCATGCTCAGTCTAGTTTCCCAGTAGATTGCTTAAATACTGTAAATGCACTTAATATAGCCCTGGAGTCCATACTTTAATAGAGTACAAATAACAATGCCTCTAAGACACAGTCTCTCATAAATAACATACAGTATCTCACTATACCAATCATCAATGTTAATGTCTTTCTTAGAATCAAATTTGAAGCAATGCAAGGCATGCAGTTAAAAACTAAATTACCATCTCTGGTCTGTCATGTCTTTATTAAAGTTAGGCGCGGGTCAGGTCGTGTTGCGTCTGTAACAAAGCGTGTTCAGCATTCGGGCCTTCGTTGTTGAGCGGCAGAAATTGGACGGTGATTACATAAGTTCATGAAGATCGTCTCAGTGATGTGAAAGTGCAAATCGATGAAGGATTTTTAATGCTAGACGCGATTGTATTTTTAAAAACTCAAAACTCAGTCTCCACCGAGTTGGAGATACAGCCAAGGTCAAGAGGCCTACAACCACAAAATCATTGACATATGACAAAGCTTTTATTTATTTATTTTTTTTTACGGAGTTGTGGTCACGGCTGTGATAAAGATCAACCAGGGAGTGTAGTACTGTGCCTTTAGTTAAATCAGTTCATAGTCACATCAGTGACTGCAGAAGAGGTTGTAAATAACTTAAAGTGAATACAGATTGGCAAGCAAGCTGGAAAGGCACCACTGCCAACTGAAACCAAGTCGTGTTATAGGTGCCACAAAGACTTTAAATTTTATTTTGTTTGTGTGCTTTCTCATGGACTGAAACTGTGCCTACAATACACCATTCACAGGGAGATACAGTGTACACAGTGTAATGACCACGGTCATACACGTCAGTTAACGTAAAATCAGATGATTCATATTACGCTCAATAGTCCACAAAACGTGTAGCTATGCTTTCTTTATTTATGTTCCCTGTCTGAAGAGTCTGTTTTCTCATCACTTCAGGATGCCTGAGTCCTCCGTTTTCTCTCAATCTTAGAGTGCACCCGAGACTTCGTTATTCCTTAGTAATGACAGAATTTGAAATTGCAATTGAGGTTGCAATTGTTGAGGCAACTTAGATATGTCTGATTACAGTTGGAACATTCAAGATCCATTGTGAGTGATGTTGAAAGCTTCAACTGTCCTTATTGTTAGTAATACTTGTTAAGTAAGTGAGTGTCGAGTTTGTCAGTAGGGGTGGCATATCCTTATATCGTCCTTGGGGATAGCCATGAGTTCCAAGTGCTAATGAAGTTAGATTGTTTTGATGCCCAAACATCAAAGAATCGGATGTTTGAAGTTTGGTTAGTGTCAGTTGTCTATTTTAGAAAGTCATTAATCTCCTGAAAAGATTCTGTCAAACTGAAAATCTCCAAGACCTAATGGCTCATCTCAGGAAGAATTCCTTGGCTGTGGTTTGTAGTTTCCTGTAAGTAGAGTTGTTAGTGGGGGTAAAACGTCCATTTCACCTTTTTCCTGACAGCGTGGATAGAAGACTTTCTACATGACTGCAAGCAGTGTGTGGTGATTAATGGCACAAAAACGTCATCCGTACCTGTCACAAGTGTATTGGGCCCGCTGTTGTTTGTTTGTTTCATAAATGACTTGCCTGACGTTGTACACTCCTCCATACAAATGTTTGCCGATGACGCCAAGTTATTTCGGGAAATCAAGAACCAAGCGGACTGTGAAGAGCTGCAGAAGGACCTCTGTGGGTTCCAAGAATGGTTGAAGAAATGGCTGCCGAGATTCAATGTCACGAAGTGTAAGAGGATGCACCTGGGGCGTACCACCGGTAAGAAGGCATATCATATGTCCCAATGGGATGAAGAAACTGCACTAGTTGAGACTGAATGTGAGAAGGACCTAGGTGTGTATGTTGACAATGAGCTGAAGTTCTCGGGCCATTGCGAAAAGAAGGTAAATCAGGCAAATAAATTATTGGGTCTTATAAGAAGGTCGTTCAGATATCTAGACGGTCCGTCTCTCGTAACGATCTTCAAGAGTGAAGTGCTTCCCCATCTGGAGTACTGCCACCCCGTCTGGTCCCTGAGATATGCCAGGGACTGTCAGTTGGTTGAAAATGTTCAAAGGAGGGCCACCAGAATGGTGCCTGCACTTCGGCACCTCAGCTACCCTGAGAGATTGGAGTGCCTGAACTTGCCTAGCCTATACTACAGATGGGCAACGGGTGACCTATTTGAGGTGCATAAGCATCTCAAGGGGCACTACTCAGTCGAGTGTCCTTACTTGGAGCTGGCGGACGCTCGCCCACACAGGGTTACAGTTCAAGATTGAAGAAGCCGCAAGTCCAGAAAACTGCGAGGGTAAACTTTTTCGGAGTGAGGGTTGTAAACTCTTGGAACAATCTACCAGAAAGTGTTGTGACGGCACCGAGTGTGAGCTCTTTCAAGACAAGACTTGACCAACACTGGAGCGGGTTCAGGTACATTCAGGAGCCGGTGCATGCCCAGTACTTGCCAATAGTGCGTGACAGAGACGTGACCGATCGCCCGGGCGGCTAGCGAGCTGATCTTTTGGTGAAGAGGATAAAAGAAAAGGAAAAGTAATCATAGACGTGACCGATCGCCCAACCGGCTAACGAGCCGATCAGTGGTGAAGAGGATAAAAGAAAAAAGATAAAAGATATAGGGATAGACGTGGAAGATTAGCCTGACCCGTAACACTGATTTTCATAGTCGATTGTACAGCGACCGAGGTGAATAGAATTTCTGTTGTTGGTGAGATCAGCCTCTCTGGTATGCATGCGTGGGCCGGAACTGCCCCAGGCTCACGTATATATGGATGCACAAGGAAAAATCACACTTTCGTGACTCTTCCTCAACGCATTTCCAGGCACTGATTGTGTTGTCACCACCACCGAGGTGTGGTAGCCGCCTATGGGCAAGATGGTTCTTGAAGGATGTCTTTAATATGGCGAAATAAGAATCCGAGGACAAGATTACCCAGGGAATGCCGTGCGCTCCTGGCGAGCGAGCTTCACTTGTCGGCCTAAACAACTGCCGCGAACAGTGGACTCAGTCTTGACACTGTTGCCCGGTCCATTGATCTTAGCTATATGTATTGAGCAGTATTGGTATCTATGATTGGGGATCAACTAGCAGAAATATAGTTACCTCATGTTAAGTATTGGACCCAGCGGTACTGTTGATAATAGGAGTTGAGTCCACCAGCCAGGTGTACAACCACTGAATGCTAGTTAAAGTGCCATGTTGTTCAATTCGAACTAACAAGATGTGTCTGATAATATCTTCATTTTGGATCTTGTCGAGTGTGTTATATAATCATCAGTATTGACATGAAGTAATATAATGAGTGTGTAATGTTGTAATCAAGAAATTAATATCTATTTTGCTATGTGTAAAGTAATACCCAGAGGAATGTGAGTTCAGTATTGCTGGATATGACTCATTTATGAACCTTTCTCAAGAAAATTGCAAGAGGGGTGTGGTTATCTATGCTAGGCAAAACCTAAGAGCCAGCCAGGCGAGATTCAATGTCACGAAGTGTAAGAGGATGCACCTGGGGCATACCAACAGTAAGGAGGCATATCATATGTCCCAACAGGATGAAGAAACTGCACTATTTGAGACTGAATGTGAGAAGGACCTAGGTGTGTATGTTTACAATGAGGTGAAGCTCTAGGGCCATTGCGAGAAGAAGGTGAAACAGGCAAATAAATTATTAGGTCTTATAAGAAGGTCGTTCAGATATCTAGACGGTTCGTCCCTCATAATGATCTTCAAGAATGAAGTGCTTCCCCATCTGGAGTACTTTCACCCGGTCTGGTCCTTGAGATATGTTAGGGACTGTCAGTTGGTTCAAAATGTTCAAAGGAGGGCCACCAGACTGGTGCCTGCACTTCGGCACCTCAGCTACCCTGAGAGATGGAGCGCCTGAACTTGCCTAGCTTGTACTACAGACGGGCAAGAGGTGACCAAATTGAGGTGTACGTATAAGCATCTCAAGGGGCACTACTCAGTCAAGTGTCCTTACTTGGAACTGGCGAACGCTCGCCCCCCAAGGGGTCACAGCTAAGGATTGAAGAATCCGCAAATCCAGAAAACTGTGAGGGAAAACTTTTTCGGAGTGATAGTTGTGAAATCTTGGAACAATCTACACCGAGTGTGAGCTCTTTCAAGACAAGACTTGACCAACACTGGAGCAGGTTCAGGTACATTCAGGAGCCGGTGCATGCCCAGTACTTGCCAACAGTGCGTAACAGAGACGTGACCTATCGCCCAAGTGACTAACGAGCTGATCATTTGATGAAGAGGATAAAAGAAAAGGAAAAGTAACAGAGACGTGACCGATCGCCCAAGCGGCCTACGGATAAAAGTAAAAGTAAAAGTTTCCCTTACTATGTTTAGTGTAACGCTTCTGCCTAATAGAGGAGTAATATTTAATTAAATACCCTGTAAAATGATCAATACCAACAGCTTGCATGGAAGCCAACTAAGACATAGCATCAGTTTATAGACAATGTTTGGTGACTAACTTCAAGCACAGGACTATTCCAAGAGCTTGGTCATGTCCCAAAATTGTTCTTCAGTCAAATCCGTGACAATAAATGGATCCACAAACACAAAAATCAAATACAGTTGAGTCTGGGTTTATGCGGTGTTTGTTTACCGTTGGTCATTTATGCGGTGCCTTGCCAGAATGAAATGCTTTAATTACGTGGTAAATTTGGTCATTTACGGCGGATGAAGTATAATTTGTTTATTTACTAAGATATTTGTTTTAGCTCATAAAATTCATACAAATTACCCGCCAGAATATAATTTACATTGCTGGAATTCTTATAAGATTGTGATTATTTAAATATAAACATCATCAAATATTAGATCTAATGTAAGAATTTTGATTAGAAAGAGCCAAAATTTTATCTTTTGTGCAAAATATATGACGTTTATATTCAAAATATTCCTGGTCTTGCAAGGAATCCAGCAATGTCAATTATATTATCCTAACTTTAGTCTGGTATTATTTATTACAAAAATGTAAGCCTTCTGTTTTACCCAAACATTTCTCAGAGAGGAGGAGCCAAGCGAGGGGGGAGGAAGAGTCGAATCCATTATTTAAATGGACATTAACCGGTGACTGTATTTCTCTTAAATATTAATTGTGTGTGCATACCATCATAAAATTAAGATGTTATTTTTACTACAACGTAGGTATTGTATCGGTATTGTGTCGGAAAAAGTGGAGTTTGGGGGTCTGCCCAGTCTCTATTTCAATTAATCCCATATATTATTTCATTTACGCATTTCTCGTTTCTGTGGCGGTACTCACGGGTTCAATTGACCGCGTAAATGAAGACCCAACTTAAATGAATAAATAAATATGCAATAATAACAGACTAATGGCAGGTCATGTAGTTTCATAACACCTTCAGATAGGAGGAGTAACAAGGACTACTGTGCCAAGTTTGATAGTCCTTACATGAGGTATGACACAGACTTGAGGTGTGGTCACCAGTCCAAGTTCACTCAGGAAGGGGCGAAACAGCAGCTGCTCGTAATCCACCAAATGGACCTAAAAATCAAACATACATTAGAGGTGGATAAAAGCACAATACACTGATACTCTGCATATTACTAAATTTGGGATCACACATTCTGAACCTGAAATTAAACTTCAAAGATTAACATCCCATATTATATTATCATTCCAAGTTATTATACCTTAAGATTAAACAGTAGTTTTAAATTAGACAAATTTAGATTTAGGCATAAAATAGGTAAACATTGGTTTGGAAATAGAGTAATGGAACAAGTTACCATACATCATCATTAACTCAAATAACCTGGATAGCTTAAAAAATAGGTTGGATGGATATATGAGCAATAGGGGTTCGGCATAAATGGGACTGCCCAGTATGGGCCAATGAGCCTACTCCTGTTTCCTCCATTCTTATGTTCTTATGTCATTATACCTAACCTAACACAATCCTGCCAGGTAGCATTATGGTGTTCAATCATCAGGTGAAATAAGCTAAGGGCCTTATCTTCATGGGCCTCTTAATAGTTTAAATTACATGCTCCCTATATACAAATAATGGTACAATGAGTCTAGTAAAATAATCAGGATAAGGCAGAGACAAAAAAATTCTTGTTCCAACACAATTCGGGTAAACAAACGGTGAATATAACCATCCAATGAAAATGAGAATGCTGGCCACCTTGGATTACTTAACCCCAATTGACATTCATCATTTGACATTGTGCATCACAGGTAACTCTTACTAGATACATGGATACATGACAAGAACAGTGTTATGAAGTTGATTCAAATACAATGCAGGAAGACACAAGAAACATCAATTAGTTTATTCTGCTGAAGAGTCATATTGTAGACTCGGAAAATTATAGATAAAATCAAAGTACAGTACAGGTACCAGATGGATAAAAACATGTGTACTTAAACGTACTGAAACGTAAAACACAGAAGTAATAATAACAAAGAAGTCATAGCCAGGGCCTTCTACCCTTAAAGTTCGTTTCCTGTGTTTATAAGAAAGGATACAAACAACATACTGTGCTTAAATCCAAAGACAAAGAGTTCAGGTCACTATTAAAATTTGGAGAACATTCTCCCCCCCACCCCAAGTAATTTTATCCTAAAAGGAGGTAAGGAATGAGTTAAAGACATCATTCAGATCTTAAGTGAACCATTCATCTCTAGCCCAGCACCAGTCATGCCTGAAAGTGAATGACTAACATTCTCCCAGCCACCTTCACAGTACAACATAGTACACTCTGTGCTTTACTGGTTGGACTAAAGATTTCTAGATACAGATTTAAAAGCAAGAATTAAATTTACCTTCCACTTTGCAAGATTTCATTTGTGTTTACAACCTAATCAGCAGAACCAGGTGGGGCAAATAAGTCAACCCTGGCTATCTGATGTGTATACAGGTAGTGGCCAGTGGGAGCAGGAGGTTAGGAACGTGGGAGGGAGAGGAGATGGACAGTGGGAGGTAGGTTGAGATTGAAAAAGATGGGGGTAAAATGAGGGATGGGAAGAATAAGATGAAATGAAGAGAAATGAGAGGAGGAGTCGACAGAGAGAGAGGATTAAAAGAAAAGACAGAAGGGAAGAATTGGGGAGTGAGTAAGAAATTACAGTAAAAAATGGATCAAGAAAATTCAGAAAATGGAGAACAAAATGGTGTCAGCATTTCACAATGATGTAAGACAAAGCTTAACTGGTTAAGCAGTAAAGACTCAACAGTACAGTACAGTACAGGTATGTTTATTTATATTTAACCCCCTTTATTAGATTAAGTCATTGGGCGGTCAGGCGGTTTTGTTATTTTCTTGTGATATTTGTCCACTTTTATGAACAATTATACCAGTTTCTCAACAATTTACCGGGGGGAATCGACGAATCGTTCCTACCGTGGCATTGTGCTTGGTCTTTGTAACCGAGTCCTGGGTTCAATCCCCAGTCTGTGACAGATGTGCAGAAGTTGTTATCCAGTTTGACCTTACCAAACATTACTGGTTTCCTCCAAGTACTCTCGTTTCCCTTTGTACCAAAAGTGGACAATAAAAATCATTAAGTAACAAAGAACATTCCAACCGCCTGAATAAGCTGATAAGTGGTGATAAGTAAATACAGTAATAAAGTGCTAATGTTTGTAAACGACAAGTAGGCTACAGTTAACAGAACATGTAGGAATGCTTATATTAACTACGTTCCACACTTAAACATAGGTTAGTTGTACCAAAATAAAGAAAACCTCACCCATGGAGTAGCAGACGATACCACAAGGCTTGTATCTGTAGGAGGCTGGTGGGAACTGATCCATCATGGAAGTAAGACCAGGTGGCAACATACAGTTGTACTCTGGGGTGACAATGATCAAGCCATTGGCTGCCTGAATCTTGGCATTTGTCTTGATCATCCATTCTGGGGCTTGACTCTGATCCTTGTAAAAGTGCAGAGGTTGGCTGACATGGCCATTGGAACCTAATGTTAGCGGATCTGAAAGAGAAATTTTTGAGATACTGTACAATATATCACCCCCATACACACACGCACGCATATTTGTTACCAGACTCCACTTACTTTATCATGCAGTATGTGAATAATGCAGCGAGTCAGTAATCATTTGGTAAAGCACGTCTTTTGTAATCGGCTATCTACATGCAAGTGCAAAACCAGGAAGGGGGGGGGGGGCGATAAGGCAGGTGTAGTTTCAGACAACCGTTTCCATGTCTGAGACTGAACTATTAGATAGAATCTACGAAGTACAGTACTTAACAGGTGTACTTTGAATATTTAATTTGGTGTTGAGATAACTTCAAGTATGTGTGTGTGTGTGTGTCAAGTCATTTCCGTTCAAAGCGACAGTAGCTCTGGTCCACAACACAACCATCAGGTCTTGTTTTACCCCTAAGCCTGTCTGTAAACAACATCCCCCAAATGTCACCTGTCACCAGCAAGTGGAACTTCAACTTTTTCCCTTCGCTAAACTGTCTCCTCCCTTAGGTGTTATAATTATAGCCTGTGAGAGGGCGAGGCTTCACTGGGCAGGAAGACGGTGCGGCGGGGAAAGATCGTAATGAAGGATAATTTTATCCATGTCATGTTTGCTCAGTCATCACCAAATGAAATAATTAATTGTAATTAGCCTTACACAGACAGGCCCATCAGACTCACATTGCCCAATAAGACTACTGTATTATGAAAATGACGAAACAGGTCTTGGGGTGACAGTCCTGCCTCACGTTGGGGCTCGAATACGCACGTTGCTGGTGGAGCTTACTTAAAAGTATCTTCTATAGATGTCCAAGTGTTTATGAATAATTTATTGCAGCAATATTACCTTAAAAAGATTACTGATGCTTATGTAAATAATAATAATGTGAACCCCTGACATGAGCTTTATATTTGAATATTCGATTTTACAAAACAAGCCTACATATATACTGTAAACATTTATCAAAAAGACCACAAGCATTATTAGTAATACTTATTTATAATGTGGTCCTCCTAAGTACAAGTATGTGTAAGGACCGGGGTATGAATCGTGTTGTGTAGTTACAGTTGTAAATGTGTATGTGCATATATAAATGTGCATGTACACTCGGAAACCATAATCTCTAGCCCACCTGGGTCAGTGCTGGAGGTTAGTACGGTGTCCTTTCTGGACGGGGGCCCACTCTAACTATCACGAGGCAACACACGCACGAACACACACAGTCATAGTACGGCTATATAGATGACATTATATATAAGTATTGTATATGGCATTTTATACTCTGCATTATCTTCATTATATATGAACACGAAGAAAAATTACCATAAGTTGTAGTTACGAAATTATGAATGGAAATAAACACTTCCAAACCACCCAGTGAATCCACACAACGTTTACAGCGCTTGTGTGTGTGTGTGTGTGCCAGACCACGCTGCTTCCACCACACCCCATCTACTGTATATCTTTTATTTTCCCTTCATTTGCATAACTATATGAAAAATCGTGTTTAATTTAATTACATATTTCAAAAACCTTAAATTACATGTGGATGAGTCACTCCTCATTTGACACACTTATAGTGTAATACTTTGACCATCCCACCTGGGCACATGGAGGCCCATGGTAACTCTCAGGGGGCAACATACACACAAGTTATGATATGACCCCTTCCAGGCTTCACTATCATTATCATGTTATGTTCATCGTGCTCTGTATCTTGGTAACTAGTCATAGTATCAATACATGGAGGAATATCTATATTAATATACTGTAATATTGCATTTTATTGCAAACCGTAAAAAATCTCGCTTAACCATTGGACGCGAGAGAAAGCACCACTGGAGTTACGAAATGAAGAGCCGAAGCACATAGGAATGACCAACCTGACGTCGTGTGTAGGGAGGCCTGCCGTATCAGTGTGGACACTGTTGCTCAAGGGTAAGTCATATAATTCATTCTTGTATTTGTTGAGAAGTTATATATATACAGTATATATATATATATATATATATATATATATATATATATATATATATATATATATATATATATATATATATATATATATATATATATATATATACATATATATATATATACATATATATATATATATATATATATATATTATATATATATATATAATATTATATATATATATATATATATATATATATATATATACTTCGTATATATATATATATATATATATATATATATATATATATACTTTCTTATATATATATATATATGTATATATATATATATATATATATATATATATATATATATATACATATATATATACACACACACAGTCATGGTCTGGTTAACGTAGATACTTCTTGGAAAGGTGACGTTAACCGAAATGGATGTTGTCCGGGGTCATCACATAAACTTTGTATTTATACTTACGTGTATGTGGAATACTATATACGTCCATATACACTTTTACTCTTAAATCACTACTGTAATGTGATACAGGTGATTAATTTTTATCTCGTGCAAAATACATTTAGTTTACATTAAAATTATTCACTGTTTTACAAGGTTTCCAGCAAGCTGGGCAGATGGGGGAGAGCGAGCAAGCCAGCCAGAAGCGATATCAGCAGCTCAGCCTGCTGAGGGTCGTGGAGGGAGGGGAGCGGTTTGACAATTGGCACAGGCCCAGGTCTAACCCTGTATATTTATCAGTTCTTAAGTGACTAAGCTTCTCTCTTATAACAAGCCAGTGAAATGACCTGGGAGAATATAATTAACATTGCTGGGATTCTTGTAAGATACTGATTAATTTGAATATCAACATGCTGTAATTTGCACTAGACATAACAATTTTAGTACTGTAATGAAATTAGTACATGTACACTCCAGTTTTACACTGTCATTTATTTCTTTTACGTTTCTTTTAGTACGGTGTATGCATGTAAATTGATGAAAATAAATAAAGAAATTTATGTAAATCGACCCAAAAATACAGTTGAAAGACTTTATACTGTATTATAAAATGTACAACAGTATTGTACACTAATGTACTACATTTTTATATCTTGAGCAAAACATATGACGTTTATATTCAAATTATTGGCTTTCTTGCAAGGATTCCAGCAATGCAAATTATAATCTCCTAACTTTAGTCTGAGATATTATATAAAATAAACACCTTGAGGAATAAAGTTATCACCAATCTTTTGTCTGGGAACACAAGGAGGGAGGTAGCCAGCGAGCGTGGGGGAGGAGGTGAGGTGACAGTGCCTAGTGTTTGTTTATATATTTGAGATAAGATTTGACAGTTGGTGCTGATGGCCTGCGTGTTTATTTATCATTATTTAAGAGTGACTAAGCTCCTCTCATAATTTGCCACCCAAACGACCTGGGTGAATATAACTTACATTGCTGGGAGTCTTGTAAGATCTTGTATGATCGTCATACTCGATTCCAAGTGACAGCAAAGTAGTAGTAGTAGATTCGAAGGTCCATTACGACAGAACGGCCAAATTAATAAGTTGCAACAACTGATGCTGCAAATACCAGAGAATTTGAAAAATAAAAAGTAGCTATAGCGCAGGATGTGGGTGCCTCGAACTGGTTAACTACGTTACCGATAAGGGCAATGGTTTCAGTCTCAATAAGCAAGATTTACAGATGCCATTGCTCTAAGGTACAGTAGACCAGTAGTAGGTTTGCCTTCCCAATGCCTGTGTGGCTCTTCCTATGACGTCGACCACTCCATGGTGTGCAAGAAAATGGGGGGGCTTCATATGCATGAGGCATGACGAAGTAAGGGATCTTACAGCAAATATGTTGAAGGAAATCTGTCGTGATGTCAGGGTAGAACTGACCCTCCTTCCATTGGACAGTGAGAATTTTCAACATAGGACTTCAAACACATCCAACGAAGCCCGTGTTGACGTCAGTGCTCGAGGATTCTGGACGCGAGGACAGCGAGCCTTCTTTAACATCAGGATTTTTTATCCCATGGCCGCATGTCACTGTAACTTAGCTCTCGATGCTGCAAGAGGAACGAGAACGGCAAGATAAGGGAATACGGGGAGAGAATTCAGAACGTTGATCAATGCAGCTTCATGCCTCTGGTGTTCACAAACTCTGGTGGGATGGGACCAAGTGCAAGAAGCTTCTACGGCAGACTCGCGGAGGTGCTATCCGAACAGAAGCAGCAGCCCAGAAGTTATGTTACAGCCTGGATGAGATGTCGACTGTCCTTCTCTCTCCTTAGGTCTGCTTTGCTCTGTCTCAGGGGAACGGGAGCATCGGCCCCAAAGCCGACAACAGTTGCAGATATTGACTATGAGGCAACAGTCACTGAATGCTGCATAGATTTGCGGCTCAACTAACTCAACACAGCTAGGCGGCGAAGGTGTGGTTATTGGGGGAGGATGGAGGCCACGTGTAAAAAAAAAAATAGTAGTAGTAGTGTGTGTTTACTATGGGCAAAGCCGATGGCAAATTGATAAGGTAAAACATGATTGACAGCCACAGGAGCCAAAGATTGACCTCCTGCGTACACGAAGTTACCCTGGCGACCCATCAGTAGGTAAAGTCAATTTAAATTTTCACCCGTTATCACCTGCATCGTGTCAAAAACATGCGCAAGATCAATTTGACATTATCACTGTAGTAGGCAGCTACCAAACAGGGAGGTACTACTGCCTGGGAAGACATTGGAAGCATAATGTATTATCTAATGGTAGACCCTGCTGCCATATGGCATCACGAAAATTGTGACCAAGTCACCAGGTTGCTGATCTGACATTCTGCCTCATTTACACACAATTGCAGGGTCTCAATTGTTTCTCTTACAATTGACAACACAACATACATACATTGTTTCTCACTTGATCATTTTTAATTTTTTATTTCTTTAAGGTTTATTATTATTATTATTATTATTATTATTATTATTATTATTGCAGTTATTATTATTATTGTTATTATTATTTATATATTTGTATTTTTTAATATAAATTTTACTTATCTGAATTAT